CATTTGACACGCATTGTTACAAAAAACCCATTTTTAGTTGTCTATGTGATCGAAGACCGCTAAGTATATATTTTTGATTTTTCACAAAATCTTTCAGATCTAAATTGTTTATACATGTAAAACTCCATATTTATGAAACAGATTTTAAAATAATGTTGTAAAAACATTTTTATAACATTATTTAAACAAAAATGCTATCAGGGAATAAAAGTTTATACAATTTGTTTACGTGGATTTTACGATTTATAATTTTATTATACAAATTTCTTATCGTGTTATTAAATTTTAAAAATAGCTGAGTAAAATATTTCGATTAAGTCATAAAAACGAAAAACTTAATATGATTTTGTATTTAACTCCTAAAATGAATTTATCATAAAGTATATTCATTTAGATTACCTATAACATCTTTATAGATACTTTTTATGATTTACATTACTGAACGTAGTAAAACATAAATTTGATTTTATTCGTATATATGTTCTTAAAAATAAAAGAATAAACCTTTTGTCGCTAACTATGTTTATCATGACTTCTATTTATAATAATATTACTCACCCTCTTCAAATAATACAAAAAGATTGCTTTCACAATATTTACATAATAGAAATAATGTTTTCCATTATTGCGCATATCATTGTCAATATATAAATGTCGAAATTTTAGGTATCTATTATAAAACATATACATTTTTTTTAAAATCTTTCGTATAAATGCTTACTAAATTTTTACTGGTAAATAAAGTTTTATAATCATGCATAATATTTTTTGAAACCGACCCAACTTACTTCCATTCATTTCACTTTATTTATCATAATTGACCAAAAACAAAAATTTTTTGATATGTCTCTAGCATTTTTCACTTTCTCCGCCCATCATTTGTTAGTATTTTCAACAGATCACACAACACTTCAAATTAATGTTGTCTATCTTATTAGAATAATTATCAATTTACAATCCTTTTCAATTGATTCAACAGACATTTATATAGTTATGAATGCATTTTGAAATTCTCCATAAAATCATTTATTTAATAATGGTTTGATTTTTTAATGTACAGAACAAGTTACGACATTTATAAAAAAATATATGATTCTCAGATAATTAACATGAAAATAATAAACATATATCTTAAAAAATTATGAGAAAATCAATATTATTGCAATTAAAACATAAAGGCCTCAATGAACTGAAACTAAAATATCTCGAAGTTTCTTTTTTTAATATTATTGATATTTATTAGGTATTTGAGATAAAAGTTAATTTTTAAATACTTTTAAAATTTAAAAAGAAGATATACATGATTAAGTTTTATTGAGGTTTTTTATTTCCAATAATAATACTATGGTTAGCATTTAGAATTTTTAGAATAACTATAGTTATAATATATAAATAATACAAAATCTTTTAATTAGTGAATATAACCACTAATATTTAGTCACCTTTTTACAAAAACTATCTAAATAGGTTTCTCGAGTTTGAAATTCAAATAGATTTTAGATGATCAAATTTTGTATTTCTGATAGTAATACGAATTAATTATGGATAACAATTTAAGTTTTTACAACAATCAAAAAAACATGATTTTTTATGAATTTCCAGTAAATTTTCTATTGCCTTGACGCCAGACCAAGAACCAATCACAAAAGCAGTATACAATAATGCAAATAATGAACAAATCCAAAGAAGATATAACAACCAAGAATAAGATTTCTTGTTATTCCAGCAATATTTTGAGTAATGACAGCACCGTGGAGTATTTGAAAATCCTAACTCGTCCATTGCTTTAGTCACATGATTGCGTGTTTTCTTAATACAGTCATTCATAACTAACCAGTTTTCTTGATTCATTATATATTACTTCACTAAAAATAAAATAAAAATAAGTTGTCAAACAATCCGAAATTAATACTTCAAAATTTGATTTTTTTCAATTATTTCCTAAGAGAGATGAAGGGTGAAATCTAAAGAGTAAAATCGTTACTATAAAAATTACTTCTTATAGAAATAATAGATTTTATTACTATTATAATTTAAACAAATAACTATATAAAATATGCAATTATTTTTTTAAACGTAATATTATTCAAATCTTAATATAATTTTAGACATTTTCCTTATCAATAAGTTATGAAAGCTATTTTTAATTAATTATTTTCTATTATAAATACACGAGTATAATAATCTACATAAATCAATTTGGTATGCTTCGTAATTCCGTTTCGCTGGATTATGTAATTTTTTGTACTCTAAGTAATAGAAATAGCTTTAAAGAAATGGCGTTAGATATGAATTTCAATTAATAGCAATAATAAGATCTCATAAACATGACTTACTTAAAATTTAAAATATTTTCTACCAAACTAGCGTGTTAGTTATTTAAACCAGTAATATAATTTTTTTAAGAAATCCAGTTGATAATATTTTTAAGTTAACCAATTAATATCAGAATTGTTTAAATAAAATAATCAATTAAGGTAACTATAGAAAATAAATAGTGTTAGATTAAATTTGCTGAAACATTAAACATTATTTCGACCGACACTATATTTATATGAAATATAAAAAGATTAACTTTTTCAGTTGGAATTATATATCATACAATTCATTCCTATATAATACAATAATATTATATTATATTAAACATAATAAAAATGAAGAAAAAATTATTGTGGAATTATTAACTTAGTTTTTAGTTTTTAGTTATTATCGAGGTGGACATAATACCCATGCACTCAGACCTGTTGGTCCATTGTGCGCTCACCTCATACCGAATTGTCTTGATTCGGTTAACCCACCTAAGTGTTATCACCGAAGTGTTAATACATTATACCAATCATTGTATAAGGGTGGACCATAAAGTTACCCCTATAGATGACCAAAGAGTCTTGTCTTTCCGGTGAAATTATGTATCTCTCTGGATTTTAGGTTTTTAATATATTCTTTTTCAGGAAAAGGTTTAATCAAGCAGTTTGATCTTGGTGTGGACAAGGCTTGTCAAATTCCCTGGACAAGGGAATGTTATTTTTAAGAACCGGTTTGATATAGTCCAAGCGGTAAGTATTGAACTTAAAATTATAAAAATGATGTCTTCCTCATCAGGTTGATTTATAAATAATTTATAAAAACAGCACTCTTTCGAAATCCTCTGTAATCCTAATTTTACTTGAAATAATGAACAACTTGATTTTGAATTTATTTTACTCATTCCCCAAAATAAAACTTTTACCATATTTAGTCTTGAATTAATTGTAATTCAAATTAATTCTATGATTTGCAATAGTTTATGAGTTATGAAAATATTATTTTGGAATTACTAGTGTAATGTGTAAAAAAAGTACTAAAAAATGTTTTTATTATTTCGTCAGTTAAGTATGTTTTTGCATTTCAAATAAATAAATAATAAAAATTTGTTTTGCATTCGTAAAAAATTGCTAAAATTAATATAGGGTATCTCACCAATGAATGAACAGTTCAGAGTTCTACATTTTTTTAATTTCTTTATTAATATATATTTTGGTGTAATACTCATTAAACTAATAAATACTTATTCACTGAAAAATTCTCTATAGTAATAATGTTCACAATGTTTACAATTAACTAATACAAAAAATTAATCTATAATTTTTTATTGACAATTGTAATTTTCCATACGAATAAATAACTAATGATTCATCAAAAATGTTGTTGATATAAAACTAAATTAAAATATTTTTTTTGTTACGTCATAACAAATAAACAATATAATATTTTAACTAATAACATCAACTTATTACAATCAAATTAAATAATTTTTTAATTGAAATCTCATTGGTAGTGTTCATTTACTGGTTTCGTTAAACTAATATTTTTTACGTTTTAAAATCGTCATAGAATTTCACTGTACTTGTTCTTAATTATATTTAAGTTATTACTCTTGTAGAAAAATTTGTAATCGACAAATCGTTAATTTTTTCTCTTTTCATAAACTCTGAAGATGAACTCTGAAACGAGTTTAAAAGGTCAATAAAACTGGAGTCATGGATATATTTGTAAATATTCTAAAAAATATAATAAACCATGTAAGCTTTAACAGATTCATAATAAAAGTTAAATTAGAATTTCTCATTATGAAAAGTAGAAAAAAACAGTATTTTTTGAGAGTTCTTATAATGTTGTATTAATATTAAGAGGAGATTTAAAAATTTTAGAATCGTAATTTTTATGAAATTAAAATGTCATGGTTGCATAATTGCTTATAATTCTTAATTATTCATTTCATCATTTAAAATATATTTAAAAGATACTAATAAAAATAAATTGAACAAATAATATTATGTCTACTTTCAATTTCCCCAGAAAATAAAGTTTGGCTACCCTACAGGGGGCCTCTCATTTTGCGTGGCCTCGAACACTAGTATCCACCCTCGATCGATGGAGAGCGAAAGTTAAGGGAGGAAAAAGGAAGAGCTTTCAAATGAAACGCATTTCTAGTGCACTGTATTACGAGGTGAAGACGGTTAATACGAAATCTGACTATATGGAGGGGATCACTACACGCCTCCGTCGTCAAGGGGAGGTAAAACTAATGCGCACGTCTGTAAGTGTAGCCCACGTGTAGCCCATAATTGACGATGCAGCAATACACGTGGTTATTCTTGCCAATGCACCCTCACAAAATCTTAAATTCTATTGAAATATTAGGTCATCGTTTATCTATTATAAAATGATGAGGCCCCCGAATAGGAGGTCTTGTTCTTCAACCTTATATTTAACCAAACTACAGACTTTAATGTCAAATGGGATGCCTATATACTCGGCGTATAAACGATTCATTGTAACTGTGGAGTTTAAAAATGTGAGTTGGATTTGGGTTAAAAGCTAAATAATTCTATCAAGTATGCATATTCAATATTCGAAACAAAGTAAAAAATAAAAAATATTTTAATAAAAAGTAAAGGTTTTTTGTAAAACTTTTATTTTGTCTTATGTTAAAAACTTTAAACTACTTCACAGACACACATATAATGTATAATTTTTAAGTATAATTCATAATATATCATAGATAACGGTCATAGAAGCTGAAGTATTAGTATTATTTTTATTATTATCAATAATATATTATTATATATATAATATATGTCTTCAACAGATAAATGCATGTTTCATATACAAGCACTACGATCAAATAATGAACATTTATTTATGCTGTCAACAGATTCATTATTCCATCCATTTAAAACAGCGTGAAAGCCAGGAAATGATTTACCACACGAACACCAAGTATTGTCAAAAGCATCTAGATCAATAAAAGACAATACCAATCCTTGAGCGTGATTTTTCAGAAATGCTCCCTATAATAGTGTAAATAATATTTTAATATTTTTTTTAAATTAAATATACTTTCGTTTAGATAATTTAAATCAAAAAATAATTATTTACATTAATCATCTTACTTTTTCGTATAGAGTATTCACAGTATCTACACACCAATTGCAAATTTCATTTGGGTTCATGCACACCTTATGAATTAATAATGAATTAATATACAGACGTTTAAAAAGTTTGAAAACATAACATTTTGTAGAAATATAATTAAAAATCTTTCTTAAAAATATCTATTACATCAAAATATTAAATTTAGAAATAATGTTTCTAAATAATTTCATTCATATGAAATTTATGTATTACAAGAAGTGAAATGACGTTAATTTGTGCCACTTGATAAATGTACAGTTAAAGATTTCCGCTTTTACCATAAGATCACATCATAATAAAAATGTATATAGTTTCTTATTTTATACAAAAAAAGTTTTAAATCATAGCCCCTTTTTCGCAGCAAAAATGTAACCTACAATTTTTTCAATAGCAAGTATGAAAATCAATTAGCTATTGACATCGTAAAAAAAATTACTTTTACATAAAATTTTTATAAAAGTGGTTATTTCTAACGATAATTTAGACATATTATTCGTATCTTAATCAGCTGAACTTCGAAGAACAGAAAAATTAATTGATATAGTAATACTTACTTCTTCATAACTTCTGCACAAAGTTTCGACGTTATTTCCAATAAAAGTCGTAACTGATGGAGAGTAGTCTAAATAGAAATACAATTTTCTTAAATCTATAGCGCTCTCTCTAATTGCTTTTACAACATTTTTCTAAAACGTGAATAATTCTTACAAAATCATTATTTTCACTCTATTTAATCTATAGACTAAATAGAGTTAAATTACATACACCTAGTTTAGCTTACAATGGTAACAACAATATAGACATCATCTAATATATTAATTCCATTATGATAATCTTCATAACAAAAATTCATTTGATCTAATCTTAAAACGAAAAAGTCTGCAGCTTCATTTAAGTAGTTAAAATCGTAATCTGGATAATAAATTTAAAATTTTACGCACTTATTCATTAAATACTTTTATTAATTTAATTATAAATAAATAAATTTATTCAAAAATTACTTTTATTGATAATACAAGAATTTACTATACAAATTATCTAAATTATGTGACCTAAATTGCAACTCTAATAACTTTTGATTCAATTATAATTTTGTTGAAATTGTTTTATTAACGTTATCTTATACTTTAATTTATAAGTTTGTTTTGTTTTAATGATTAAAAAAATAAGAAATTTAAAGAAAAATATTTTAAGTTAGATATATTATTAAAAAAAAAACTTTAAATGGAGGAATATTAACAGAATTACTTTGTTTAAAGAAAATATAGTTTTATACTAGAGAGGCAAAAACATCATATAACATTTTTGTATTTTCGAGTTTATTCATGATGTATAAAATTTTTATTCAAATCTTTAACATGCTAAAAAATATCATGTATTTGTCAGTTTGATTCAAAGTTAGAAGTCTATTAAAATCTAATATGTAAACTAATATATTTTTCAACTCTCTCCTGAATTTTCATGTTTATACATATTACGATTTTCTCCTTTCCTGTATACAATTAAATTAGAGAAAATGTAATATTTCTCACAAGTAGGGTCATTATAATATTTATAAGACGTCCAGTCAATATTAATTCCTAATTTCAAATATGGAAAACTATCTTTCAAATTCTGCATAAAATAATGTAGTTTAGCACTGAATCCATCCATAGAAACAACTTCCTAAATAAAAATAAATTCCATGTTTAAATTATGTACCATATATTAAAAGTCTGATCAGTTATTAAACAATCCATGTAAATGAAATAATAAAATTTTTACCACAGCGTAAAAAAATTATACATTTATTTAACTGGGCCAACGGATAGGTAAAGTATTAATGTATTTGCTTTGGCCCCTGGCACTCAATAAATGTATATGAAAACAAAAATTGTTTTTAATAAAAAAAAAGAAAAGGGTTTCCTAAAAATGTTTTTGAGTTATTGAAAAATAATGAATTGTATTGTATAATTGAATAATTGTATTAAGATAAAATTCCAGTATTTAAGTGATAAATTTTTACACTTACCCAGGGATCTAATTGAGTGAAAATTATTCCTCTTACAAAATATTTGTACAAAAAATTTCTGAACATTCGTATAATTTTATTGGAATTTTGATGAAAGTTATTTAATGATTTTGACCACTGGTCATAGCTCGTATAACCCATGTAGACATAAACATTTTTTCTTATAGTAAATAATCTTTCCAAAAAATCTAAAAAAAAAAGTCTTCTTTTTATAATTTGTTTAATATATATAGTGATTCTGTTATCATAAAGCACTTAATTAATCAAAAAATAAAACTAATAACGAAAATGTTTTTCTCAATTTATTAATCCCCTTGTGTCTCATAGGGATCATAACTTTTTTTAAAAAAATTTTTTTACACTATATTTAGACAGCTTGTTTCTTAGATAATAATATAATTTAGAAAATAACTAGTTGATAAAAACCTCGAATTAGTATTTCGGAGGTTATTAATATTTTCATACCTAAATAGGAAGAAGAGATCAGGCCGCAAAGCGGTAAAATTAACAACACTACGCCTTACTTCCAACCACTACTTTGAATTGTTTAAAAAAACAAAAGAATTCGACTTTATTGCCTTACTAGTAATGGTTCTATGTGAGTAGCTAGTATGGCTGTATTATGAACGTAGGTCTCAACTAATGTATTTTGTAGTAGTTGAAAAAGCAGCATTACTTAAAATATCTAGTTAAGTCGCTATATTGCTACCTTATAGAACATTAGGTTGTATTTAACAATAATTGTTAAATACAACCTAATGTTCTATATTAGGTGACACACTATTAAATAATTATTATTTAATAGTGTGTCACCTAATCTGACTTTGAAAGATCTGTTTTTTTCAGTAGTATCTATTAAATGCATAATAAAGTATAGGAAGACACTTTTTAACTTAAAATATTAGTTCGTCATACCATATTGAGTCCAATGCCTGAGCTATATCTAAAAATACGCCCAGCAGTGTCATTTTGTTTCATACGATTCTACAATATAATCAACAACTCTGTGTAGTTGGTGGGAAGTAGAGTGTAAAAATAAATAAAATTTAGTCCCATAATTTTACAATAATTCACACAAAATATTTTTGAAAACGCTTTTACTTTTGTCTCTATATTATCTTATATAATCATGATTAGTTGATTTATTATATTTATAATACTTTTTTTTACCTAGTTTATACGAAATATATATTTTTTAAACTGTTATCGCTAAAATTAAATGATTAAGGATCGAGTAAAAATTACTAGATATTTTAGCCACTTCAATGTAAGTAAGTAATATTTTCTGTTAATTTACAAGTTATTTCATTGTTTTAGAACAATCAGAGGAAACAATAAACAATGAATAGTAATATTTTAATTTTTTTAATTTTAGTTTAATTAGTAGATCACAAATAATAAGAAATCACGTTAAAACTAAAATGATACTGTTTGACACTTACCTGTATGAAAGAAATAATGTAAAAATTAAATATAAAATACAAACTGCAACTTTTGATCATACGGAAGAAATAATTGAGCTAATGAAAAAAAATTTTTTGAATAGAGAAACATTGACTGAGTACATAGGTATGTAATTGATATATTTTAATTATTGTTTCTTTATCCTTAGTCAATACATAAATTAATTAAATTCAAAATTACTCAACAAAATCATCTACCATCGATTTATAATTTTTAAAATATATTGTCAATTAGATTCCATATATTATAGTATATATACGACTGATATCTATGAGACTCAATTCATTTTGAATGATTTATTTTCTCGTATTTAAAGCATATTATTTTCAAATTTAACAACATGTATTCAAATTTAGAAACATATCAATTTTTTTTGAAACCAAATACATTAATTTTATGTTTATATTTGATAGATTTTATAAAAGACGCTGAAGCATGTGAAGCCTTAGAAGTTCTTTGGAAAAATATTATCCGTAACGGAAATGTTCTAATAGCTGTTTTAATTAATAGTTTAGAAAATGGAATTAAAATAATTGGAGTCAACCTAACAAATGTTGTGAAGAAAGAAACTAAATTTGAAATAGTAACTAAAATACATAACTAATATTACTTAAAACTAGGTCATAAATAAATAAAAATGATTATTTCCCTAACATAGCTTCATAAAATTTCCTCTAACAAGAAATTTCGACAATATTTGAAAAGTTTAGTATAAAAAATATTTTGATATAGTTTAGTTAGGAATATAAATTTTGCTCAACAAATTATTGTGTTATTTATAATATGATAATGTTTTAAGAGGGGGATTCAAAATAGCATCTTCTGCCCAAAAATTTAACTTTTTCAACTTAGGTTTTGAAAATGTTCTGGAAATACTCCGATCTTCAAACATATATTAAAATAAAGCTCATGTTATGTAAAAAAATTAGTTACGACGACTTATCTTTTATGTGCAAATGATTGCCGTAATTTAAAAACATGCTATTTTTTAAAATTCTTGGTGTTGTATTTCAATTTATTTTAAAAATACATTATAAGGAGGTACACTGATTTTCATGAATATTACATAAAACTAATTGACATAAAATATAATGTTAAAGTTATATCAATTTTTTTTTCTTAAAAGTCGAAAAAATTAATTTTAACATTTGAATCAGCTTAAATTGCAAATTTTATTAAAAAACGAATGCGGCGAACGTTTGCCGATACAGTAAAAATCATTACCGGTGGCAATGATTTTTTTGCAATTTGTCCGTGATTATTTTTAAGTTAGAAATTTGTTTTTCAATAATCTATCAATTTCATAAAATTAAACACTACTTACAGTTTTGCATCGAAACTTTTCTTATGATAGTGATTTTAATCACTGTCAGATATCATCTATACTAGTTCCAATTATGCCATTCACAATGTGCCGCGACCCCACTGTGCTACCATTTTTTGTCTAATACTTATTTTAGGAAGCAATTTTATTGTTATAATATAACATAAAAAATTTAATTTATGTCACTCGGTAATAATTTTTAGAAATTTCACTATATAATATTGCTATGTTTAAATATAAAACTATAAATTACTTTTTCAAAATTTTTTTAAGATTATAAAAAAAAATTAGTCTCCAATAGTTTGTGCCAAAAAAAAATATTAAATAAGATAAAAATTTTTTTTATAAAATTTAACTAGATTTAGAAAAATGAAAAAATTTTCAACTTTATCTGAGAAAAGATAAATCCCCCAAAAAATGATCTATAATATAATGAGACAGTTTTTCTTTATGTATAATTAATTTTGATTTTTCAAAATTGTAATTGAATGGTAACATAGACATTAACTACTCTTCTAAAATTTTTTAAATAACATTAATTTTCGTATCTCAATAATAAATATTAGAATAAAAAATAATTGAAAATAACAGTAGTTTTGGTGAACTACTTGGTGGTGTTTTTAGAAACAGAAAACTTCAAAAATAAAAATATTTTTAATTAATTAAAAAAATCAAAAATTAATATTTTTTTTAAATCTATACAATTAAAAATAATTACAAGTGTAATATTTATATTCTGTAGTCCGTTAATTTACGAGTAAAAATGATAATTCAGTCGGAATTTCGGTTTGATACGGTTACTACCAAAGTCTAATATCAGGAATGTTCATGTTGTCAAAGACAGATAAACTAAAATCGTAATTTAATTATAAATAACTATTTTTGCAATAAATAGTTGTAATACGCGAGGGAAAGGATATAATTTGCCAATAAGCTGTATTATCTAGACAATGATCAATTGGTTTCAAAAATTAAACTCATCTATGTCTTTTACTGGATATTTTAACTACAATCGAAATCAAATATTTGCTATTTTGATTATAGCAATTATAGGAAAATTTAAAAATAAAATAAATTGTAAGAAAAATTGTAACGCCATTTTTATATTACATATATTTCAGAACTCAGAAAATAAAAAATATATTCAAGTACTTAAAATCTTAAATTCAATTTCAAATTCTGGAAAATTATTCGATATTTATCATGTAGAGGCATATTTAGATGCTATGGGGTTATGTGTACATTCAGATTACCATGGCTATCAGATTGGTTATCGACTTTTGGAATCCAGAGAAAAGCTTTGTAAATCACTAGGTTTAAGTGTCACGGGAACAGTTTTCACTTCAAAAATATCTCAACATTTAGCTTTAAAATTAGGTTTTATAGTTCTTTCAAAAATTAAATGTAAAGATATTGATTTTGGTGGACTTCAATGTAAGTGCCCAGATGAAGACGAGGAAATAAAATTTATGGCTCGTCAATATACGTGATTTCATTCATATTGTAATAATTTATTAAGAAATTATGCTGTGAACATTTCATAAGATTTTAAAAATTGCAACTATTATGTTCATTAAAACATATTAAGTTATTAATAAAATTAAATAATTACCAGTTTCTTGTAGATGATATATTGTATTGTTGATATCAATGATAAAACTCTCAAAAGCAACTCCTTGACATTGATCTGGTATTAAAGAAACATTCATAATTGATTTTGAGTTACACATTGTATCTATATTTCCATAATAATTACATATAATTTCGTCGACTCCATAAACACCTGTATTCAGTTTTTTTTATGATAATAACACTAGTTTGTAGAAAATTGTTTTAATTTTAACAAATATTTTTGTAAAATACGCAAAAAATACATGTATAATTTTTATGTATTCAAAATTTAAAAGTATTATTACTATACTTTTTTTTTGTCACTTATTAAATAAAACCTCAACCATAAAATATGAAATAATTTTAAATTACCTTTTGTTTTGCCTAGTGTAATAAAGAATCCGTGAGAAAACAAAATTAAATATGATATTAAAGTTATCATTAAAAAAAATTGTTCTGATAATTAAAAATAACTGAAATTAAAATAATTTTCGATACTGTTAATATCCAAGTTTATTATTTAAACATAACTGCATGTGTTCATTTATGGTGTGATTTTGTCAAAATGTGAATTTTTATAATAAAAGCGTGTTAATGAATGTAAAACAAAACGTGATACATTATAATTCAAAATAAACACCACCTTTGCTTAAAATATTTTAGTTTCGTTTACAATAATAATTAACTTTTCAAATATCTACTGAACACAACGAACTTAACCGACATAAAAATTATGTCTTAAAGTAAAGTCATGATCAACATCACCATATAATTAACCAGTTTCAAACGAAACTATGGCCATATTCATCGTAGACTGGTCATCGCCATCACGATAGCCCTGTCCCTATTATTTGAGCTCGGTTCTTTTTTAACGATTTGACGAAATTTTATATCGGCTATCGACTTGACACAACCTCATTTTGGCTGAAGGTACCAGTATGGAGGTAATGTGCGTGTCATTGTTAAAGTTCCTGGGTAGGTAACTAAACAGAAACAGCAAACCACGAATCTGAATATCAACACTAAAGCGTCGGATAAATCATTGCAAGACATCACGTGTCTAAAAAAAAAAGTATTTTTGATACTTTTTTGTTCCATATATTTTTTGTAAATTTTGCCACAGTATTAAGTTCAGTATAGTAATATTAAGAATATAAAAAATGTCGGGTGTTTTTAACCGTTACTATTTTTAGGAAACTTTCAAATTATGACACTATAATTTACAACTATAGTTGTGAAAAATCAAGTATTGTATCAATAGGTACATTGGTACGATACTTAATTTTTTTCACATGTTCATAAATAATATCAGGTCACTAAAGCTAAATATTAGGTAGATAGAAACAAAATAATAAATAAATAAAAACACATTGTAATCAAATTCAAAATTCTTTACTAATAAAAATTTAGTATATAACTAAAAATCTTGTATAAAAAGTTATTTTGTTTAAGATTATGCAATATTGATAGTTATGTAAAATTACTGTGATAATCTTTTTCGAGAATATTTTGAGCATGTTCTTCATAATATTTTTAAAAGACGAGAATAATCTTTTTAACTTGCTTTTATTGTATTTAACATTATTGTATAATGGTCCTAAATTATCCAATAAGTAAAAAATAGTTACTTCCAAATTTATCTATTTAGCTTCAAATAATTCGATCAAACGAAATTAGAGATATATTATACTTAAAATAAATAATTATTTTTGAGTGTTATATACATAAGAAAAATTTTTATATCTAACGAAAGAAAATTGTATCTTTATCATGTTATCATTTTTACTGAGTCAACCTATTTTACTTCTACCCCAACCCTTTAGCATAGGGACCTCGAAAATCCTATTGCCCACAATGTAAATGTTAGCAAACGCTTTCAAATTAATTTTAAAGATAACCAAATGTATACTTGACGGTCAATGTCTCAAACAAATAACACGGTCTGTATAAATAACATATATAAATAAATATAATGTTAAATAAAGAGTTTTTAATAATACGATGTTTTTATTCGAGTTAATTATTTTAGACAATATACTCTTAATTATATTTTTTAAAACTATTTGATGATGTGATTTACATTGTTACGGACTGATTATTACATTGTTTCGTGTGCTGATCAGGAACTAGTGTGGTCGTAATGTGTTAATATTGATGAAGGACGAATAATGTGTCCGTTACATGTTTATCACCTGCATAAAAAAATAGTTTTTTCTCTCATACAAATTTTAAATACAATCTCTAATGATAGCACATAATTTTTTGTCACACACTTTAAAACTTTAACGATACTGATGAATATCTTATTGGAATTCAATGTAAATAAATTTAGATGTGTAGAAACGTAATTATAAATTTAGAATAAAATTAGTGTATGTGTTGGTCTACACGATCATGAAGACCTTTCTCAAATTATTTCAAGATGATTGATTAAGTCAATATTAGAGATCCAAATGCATCATTTCTCAAAACACGACTTAAGAGCAATTAAAGAAAACTTCATTACAGTGTGTTCACAATTGTTAATCAAGAATGTAATAAACGCATGAAGATGATGCATTTTCAAGACAGTCGTTGACTGCTTTCACAAGAGACACGACGAATTATCTAAGTGAATGAGAGGAGGCCCTAACGAATTCATCAACACTTAGACTTGTTTAATGGTAAATACGACAAACGCACGTATCTTTTAAGTCACATCTAATGAGGTGCTGGAGACGATGAAACAAACAAAAACTGCAACACTCTTCACTGGACAGGAAGAACAAACACCAGAGAGTGTGGAGGAAAGCGGATGTAGGGGACTACGACCAGAATGCAGAATCCTCTTAACACACACGGTAGAACGGCTTAAAAGGTTATTACTAGTAATTGGTCCGGACGGTGGAAATAAGATACTCGGCGTATTTTCGGGTCACGTAATTAAGATTACGTTACGCGCATCCGAAAATTTTATTGGCCATCTCATGTGATATTAAACCTTTTACTATTGCAACTACAGCTATACACTGTTGCTCTTCTACAACCGCATCATCCGCACTGAGTACCAACGGATTATTCCAGCTCCCTTTGAATCGACAGACATGTAACTGCCGTCTGACCTTTTCCTTCAGAAGTTAATCCTCCTGCTTGGCTTAAGGCGCTTTTGGCGATCTGCGAACACCGCAATTAAGAAGGTCGAACAAGGGATTTTGACAACACCTATCAAACTGTATACTATATATTTCTCGGCAAAAATGACTAAAACCTCTTCTTCGCATCTTTTATTGCTCACTGAATAAAAATGTAGGGTTTATACCTTTAGTCACATCACGTTTAGAAGAAGAATATGTTATTCGAAAACCTTCAAGATGACTAGTTTTAAAATCTAAAATACAAATGACGATCATTTATCATAATGGTAATTCAACAGTTTAAAATTATTGCAATACAATACAAATTTTTACTATCTTAACAAATATACTATATTATTTGAGATTTTGGCAATTAATATTATAGCAAAAAATATATCTTCATTCAAATGAGAGTTAAAATCATAAAATGAACTAAAATTATTGAATAATTACTATTAAGAAAAACTTTAATGTTCATACTTAATACAACGTATCGTAATAATTCTCTCAAATTTTCTATAGACATTGTGTCTAAGGTCTATGAACTAACTATGAAGATCATTTTTTTTCAATTGGTGCCTAAGTTCGATGAATAACTTAATCTAGATTTGTCTGAAATAGACTAATTATTTTACATTGATTGTCCAGTAGTATAAATTTCATAGATGGCAATTATCAATAATATACAAAAATAATTAGTTAACGAGTTTGCATTTATTGATACGAATTACAACACATTAAAATTCATCGGCAAACAAAAATTTTGATGTACATACAGCAAGCAATTTTTTTTTTTCAAATATATATTTACAATCAATATGTTTATACAATTATTAAATTTGGAAATTTAAACATATTTAAATCGTTAACTTTAAAACATTTCACGTCGTTGCAGTAATGTGACATAATTTTTAGGGAAAACACTTATTATTGTTCATTTAAAAAACAACCTTTTTCGCTTTTTACGTGTACATTAATAGTACGTATATAAAAAAAAAACAATTATACTGTGAAATATTAATCAACATTTATTAAAATATTATGTGGCTAGAATTGAGGCTTAAAATTTGAAAAAAAAAATGGTATATCGTTTCAAGTTATACTAATACTATTTTTTAAACGCGATTTGTCATCTTAACTTATAATAATGATTAATAATAAAAATAATAATAATTTATTTACATAAGAAATTATTATTTCATAAGATTTTTAACTTACTAAGTAGTGCAGAAGGCTAGTGGGAAATCAATATGCTTAATAATTCACCAGGATACTTCAATTCAATCTTAAAAAATATACTAACGTTTACCAAACTAATGGTTGAAAAAAAAGGTTTTAATGTAAACATTGTTTATTGTATAGCGTTGCATAACGTCTAACAACGTTTTTACATATTGAAAAATGGTTAAAAATGGTTTGTATTATTATAAAGTTATTATTTACAATAATTTTTTTTTTCATATGCTAGTGTAATTCAAAACTTATTAGTATAGTACTGGTTTTCGTTTAACAGTAATTTTATTATGTTTTTAAGCGTTATAATTACATAACACTAGCTTATAATATGAGACTTTATGTATAGGTGTTCAAAAAGTAGGGAAACGGATTCAATGTTCCAAACAATCAATGGCGTATTTAGGGGAGCCAAAATAGGCAATGACCCTAAAAGTCTATTTTAGTAGTAAATGAACAATTTGTCTGTATAAAAAAACAGGTATTTTTATAAATTTATATCTGATAAAAAGATATTTTTAAGAATATAAAAATGTAAAAAATAAATTATATCCAAGACAAAAAAATGATTTTATGCCTATAATTACCAACAAACGTGTAATAAAAATTTTCATTTCATTTACCGTAATCTAGAATTCACTCAAAATATAATATCATTAATCAAGAATACTCAAAGGATAATAGGTTTAAACAAATGGATTATATCATGATTATTTATCATAAAGAAAAAAAAATCTTTTAAATTTGATTTTTCGTCTTCAGTGATGATTTACGACGACGATGAAAACCTTGTATTATTTACTTAAAAGTTATAATACGTCCATATATATTATATATGTATAGATATATACACGCGGGCACCGTAAAAACTTCAGTAAGAGTTAATCGGATCCGTACGGCTGCTAGTTTAATTATCGGTTGATTCCCTTTTTTCTCTGTATAGAGTAAAGGTAACAGGGGTTCTCCAGGGAAATATTTCTAAGGCGGTATTCTGTTAGGGAGAAATGAAAAAGAACTATTTATATATATACGCAATAAAGAAAAGAAGACATAATCAACCTTTTTCTCTCGCGTTGTCCTTGTTAAAGTTCTATTAAAAATAATGGTAAGGATTTCTCGAAAAACTAATTTCTCTACTTACTCGTCAATTTCTTTTATCTACAGGATACTGTTCGTAAATCGTCTGAAATCTTTTATCAAAAGTCGTTGAGTAAAAAATAATAATGGAGTTTTATTTTTCTTGGTTATAATGAGATTTATGTCCAAACGTATTATTAAGGACTGTCTATTAATCACTTTGATTATAATTGTCATTCTAAATAATCGAATAATTCATCATATATACATTATATATATATATATATATAATCACAAAGATATGACAAATTAAATAATTTTTGATCCAATAATCATTTTGCTGCAATTTTTTTCCAAAGAATTTTTGCATTTTTAGATTAGGTTAAAAATGTAGCTGAAGTACCGTAGTTTGATTCCGTTGCATAAGTTCCATTATGTAGGTTTTCCCAACTTCTCTGGCTCAAGAAAAAGCTTTCAAAGAGGACGTTAATTAATGTGAAGTCTTCAAAAACATATTTTTTATTATTTATTTCTGATAAAAAAAAAAAATTTTAAATAGCATTTTAACAAAAAATGTTGCTACGTCGTTAACAATTTTGTATAAGTATTTATTGAGTGTCAATAATTTTAATATATAAAGTGATCCATAGTCCATGAATCTTTTGGATCTCAGATTTTAATGTTAAAGTATGGATAAAATATAAATATAATATTAAATATAAGATATGGGATCTCATTTAAACTATAATTACCAGGACTTATAGTGTTTTAGCCTAGTCCTGATTAAAAAAAAGATAATTAAGGCTATCATATAAAAATGTTTATGTTAATTTTAGAAATTTTTCAAAACGAAAAGATAAGCTTTGAAGTTCCCATAGTGAATTATTCACAAATATGATATTTATAAAACATAATTTTTATAAAGAATTGTGTTATTATAAAACAAGTCCTAACAAATCTCACTATCGATTTTTTAGATAAAAGTTACAGATATATTTCTTTTATTTTTAGAAATCGCTCCTTTCAAAAACTCTTAATTATTGAAAAGAAAAACTGCGTATTTTGTATAGATATGTTCATATAGTTTTTTTTTTGACATGTCATTTTCACGACAATTTAGACAAGCAGGTGCCTCGGGCAGTGGCACATGGTGAAACAATAACGTAACAATGACGACAGTGGGGCATATGTTGCAGCTGACTACTGTATTTTTATGATACATTTGCTATAGCATAAGAAAGCAAGCTACAAAAAAAAATTACTTACGGTTTTTTGACAGTCATTTGCAGAGCACTGCTCACACTCGTCTTTTATAACGACAGTATCTTAAACTCGAGCAAACTCATCGTGCCGCAACCTGATGGCCATAAAAAAAAAATTACTTCTTATATTTCACTGTATAGTTACGAGTACAAAAATTTACCAGCTTAAATGCATTCGAGTATTGTTTCCCCTTCGAATTAATGTTCATGTCTTTTATTTCTGAATACAGAATGTACTGGATATAAATAAATAAGTATGAGATACAAAGATCAAAAAAATAATAACGATACTTTACATTATACATTCTAGTCGTAAAAAATCTCCTCAAATCAACGTATCATTTTATATATTAAATTATACATGTATACTTATAAATTTGTTTTATAGTCGAATTCTGTTTTGAAATGTTTATATTACTATTTAAAACACGATTTATTTCTCATTCAAAACATTGATTGTTGAACTTTTTTATTTTTGTACACTAGATCAATTAGGGAAGTCTTTGACTGCTAGACATTTAGAATATTGATAAAAATTAGTAACATTTATATTACGAACAAGTTTAATGTAAGAAGTCATATATGCTGTAAAACTTACCTAAATTTTAGTTTTAATTTTAATTTAGATTTCTGAACGGGCAATCAGTATACAAAAACAGAACTACAAAAATCATTCAAGCGGAATGTTAATGAACTTAATAATTTTTTAAATATTTATAAAAAAATGATTTATCTTAATAACAACTAGATATTTATAAAATTAATTAAAAAAAACTTTTTTAATTCAAAATTAAATATTTATATGATAAACAAATACAATTTTATTTTAAAATGTTGAATATTATAAAATACTCTTTAAAACAACATAAATTTAAATGTATAATAGGATTTAGTTCAATTTAAACATTTTGTTAAATAATTGATCTGTTTCAACTTGTCCCGGTCTCTTTGTCTATACATTTATTTAATTCGATTTTTTTTTAGAATTATTTCTATATTATCTAAATAATTCAAAGATAATTAAAAAATTAAAAGTTATAGTTCATTCATTTTCTTAAAAAAATATTATAAAGAACAATATGTACACTAGCTATTAAGCACAGTTCATTAAAAATTGTTGGCCAAAAAATATACAAACAGAGACAATGGCCACTAATGTATATTTCGCATTTTGCCTAAAACTTATACATTTTGTTAATTTGGTGTTTGGTTAGTATGAAAAGTTCATACTATGTAAGATAATTTGTTGATTTAACTCTTTAGTTTATTTTTTAAAGCCCATTAAAATAAATCTTTGTATTCCCCTAAAGCACTGTAGATTTTGGCAGACATATTAAAACTTTTATAGATAAGTACTTTAATGCTCTATTTAAGAGTTTTTCAGAAACACCCCGACATGTTCACAAATGCAATGTACATACATAATAATTTAAATCTACAATGCTTTAATACCTTCACCGTGAGCATTAAATGTTATAAATTTATGAAACTTTTAGTAAATGTTTTTAAAGAATTGAATTATACGAAAAACCTGTTTAATTACTTATTTTAAATATTCTACTGAATACTATTTGTAAGGATTTTGTATCCAGTGATATTACTACCGAAAGGTTTTTACAAATTATAATCCTTACACAGTTTTTTTTATCAATTTTAATGTTACAATAAAAGTCTAAACAAATTATTCTACTTCATTAATTATTAAAGTAATATTAATAGGAAATTTCTAAAACTAATAATACTAACAAACCAATGACTAATGATCAGTGGTTGATTTTAGAAGTGTACTTGATGCTGAGGGTCGAATATAATAAAATAGCCAGTCCTAATAGAGTCAGTGCACAAAAGGACAAATATTCAAGTATACTCAGGTAGGGAATTAAATTGTAAAGTTTTGGGTTAAAATCGTTAACTTATACAAAATAAGGGTGCGTTCCGGTTATTTTATTCCAAATTATTATTCCCAAGTAGAATGTATTGTCTACATTATATTGGAGTTCATACTCTAATAGTGTGCCTTTCCGTCATTCCATGATATGTGTATGATTTGGGAAGATTTAATTGACGTTAACTGACATGTTGATTAGGGTTGAATCTTAAACCGTAAAATAGTTTACACTACTTGTTGGGACGACAATTTACATAATTTCTCTCTCTTCAGTCAATCTTCTTACAATACAGGGTGTTCAGTAAGTCAGGAAACGGGTTTCTATTGTTCTCATTGTTACAAACAATGAGAACAATAGAAACCCGTTTCCTGACTTACTGAACACCCTGTATATGATTTGACCTTGTAAAAATGCCAAAGCAAGTAATTTTGAAAAAATAACACCATTATACACTACAAATACATATTTTTTTTTAATAACAAAGTACACATGATTCGTATTAAAGTTAACGCCAATGGTTCACAATAAAACACTGTAATAATTCATTGAAATATTAAATGACAATAGGAAAAAATATTAATTTATTTAGTTTTTTAAAATGATTATACTTTGGTGAGAATTATTTACACAAAAATATCAAACTCATGAACTGATGCAAATTAATTAACAAGAACAATACTAGCGAGTTTAAATCTTGGTCGACAATAGCACTGGTCCATAGCGATAACGTACGACTGAGGTTATTATAAAATAAACGCGTAAAGCGAAAGGAGCTTAATGTCAAATAGGTAGTAGATGAATTTGGATTGGTAAAGTGGACGTGAGTATTGTTTGGGGGGTAAAAGGGTCGTTGATGTACAAGACAGGCTCCAATTACGGTGAAAGGAAAATATTTAAGGACAACAACTAATAATATTATTACTCTCGATCGCAATTAAACTAGCATTGTTTATGAGAATATTTCGGAGTGTTGGAGTGGAAATTGTGATTGAAATTTCGACAGACTGCCGCGTAACCCTTCTGCTGTCGTTGTCACAAACAATGTGTATTGACCCTTTCTTGTAGCGTGAACAATACTACATTTTCTCTCTAACTTCCAGCACATTGATAGACATATGCATACCCTAATCTTATATGTGCCTTAATACTCTCGAGTACCAGCAGAGCAATTGAAATCGGAATTTAGTTAAAAAATATGAATCCTTAATATAAGATCACAAAAATAAAATGAAGTCTTACAGAATGACCCCCAAATTGTCTAATTTTTTATAGTTGTAAAATGATTATTTTTCTTTTATCGTAAGTCGTTCTGTTTTTAAATGTTATTTTTAACGAAAGTGTAAAGAGAATGATTTTCTCTTGAGTAAATAATCGCATTTAACGATGTCGTAAACTTACTGTTGTGAAGACAATATTTCACACTGAAAATAATTCTATAAACCGGAACAATAGAAAATCTTCCCCTAAATATCCACTCGACGGCTATCGTAAATCGTACTTCACTAGGTGTCCGCAATGGCGTTGATCGAAGGGATGACACGATTATTATTATCAGAGAAAACTCTTGCGTCAATACCTCTGCCAAAAATAATAACTTTTTTACTGAGTTTCATTCGTGAGTATGAATAGCGGACAATAGTCTTTGAATTTAGATTTATTTGAAGATAACAATAATGCGTTCCATTGTTGTGTGAAATAATAATTATAAAAAATATATAAAAAGTGTATAATTAAATCAAATATGCGTTTGCATGAATATTTAAACAGGCTAAAGAAAAATACTCAGTATTATTAAAATAAAGCTTATGATGTCATGTAAAGAGTCACATTATTCTTTGCTGCTATTATACAGTATCGGAGAGAGAGGGCGTATTGGCGCCGAAAAAAAAAGTTGTCTCATGAATTATTTAATTATTATTGCCGTCCACATCGGTTTATTTTTTCGGAAGTAAATTAATTTTTTTTTTACTGACATTACTATAATAAATAACATAAATACCCCTCGCTCTAACACACAAAATCTTGAGTCTATAATTTAACATAATCTATGGTACTTTTGGTAAAACTTCGGGGACCTATTGTACTAGATCATTATTATTACTAGTACATATTTGGAATTTATCTAATTTAATCTAATAAAAATTTTTCTTTCTCGGGTCAATGACTTAGTAAGTTAGTTATAGTTGTATTATTGATTTAACGATATACTTTTTAATAGAGATTGATAACAAATATTTTTGTCATCAAATGTGTAAGATCAAATAAATACATTTTCTGTTTAATTTACTGAAATATTTTAAAACCAAATGAATTTAATTATTTTTATACACATATAAAATCTTCGGATTAAAAATGGATGAAAATAGTTGAATCAATCAATTGGTTTATTCCAGCAATTTCACCCAGTTTAACTGTATGTTAACTTAGAGTTATTGTCAATAACTTTAGGTGGATTATTTTAATTTGTTCGATGTTTATTTGATGCATTTCAATTAAATACATCTAGATAGGATAAATAACTAGTGCAGCAGAAGAATGAATAATCATATATTTCGAACCAAGACTCTTTTTAGGAATATACACCAGATAATACTTAGGGGTGGATCCAGAACTTTTTCAAGGGGGTGTAAAAAATTATTATACAACAAAATCAATTTTTGGGCAATATTATTACTGATAGTTCAAAGAGAGAGCGTGCGATTATATTTATGAAGAAAATATTGACTGACTCATATTGTTTAAATATACATTTTAATTTACTATTATTAATTGTGTTACATAATCGTAAGAATTTTATATATTGTTCGTCTATTAATATGACAATTAATATGTGCTAAGATATAATGTGACTTGGTAATAAAATTTGTAGTATAGTAAAACTCGTGGAATAGTTACCATTTGTTCTAAACGGAAATAGAGAAATAAAACTTTATGATATTATTGTGAGTAACTGCATTAGCAATAATAGTCGTAGTGCACTAAAATTGTATCCCTATGTGAATATCATGTCATAATAATGTATGAAACCTTATGGTATTTTCGTATCAACACTTATCGATTTTTTATTTCTTTTCATTAAAATGACTACTGCATGCTTTGTCAAAAAAATTAATTTGAGTAAAACTTCAATATAAAATTTAGAAATATAATTAGAAGTAGCAACTACTTTTTATGAAAAAAAAACCCTTATATTTCGTGAAGCTATAAAAATCAAAAAGTCATGAAACTATCGTTATGAGTTAGTCAATAAAACACTGATCTTTTAATACATACACAAAATATCGCACACAATTCAGTTTCGAGTGGTGAAGATGGGCTTCCGAATATTTTACTACTTCCCAAAAATT